GAGTTAAGTGGTTTGTCTGTGGTGCTCTGTTGTGTGCGTTCCTGTTTCAACCCTTTGGCGGTTAGTGAGATGGCCAACCAGAAGGAACAAAGAGTGTGCGTGAAATTTTGCTTTCTGTTAGGGAAAACTGCACTTCACTCTTCAAGTCGCGGCAAACATTCACGCGGTTTTCTCTTTGGTCATCTCCGAGCAAGCGAGGAACAAATTTTGCAGACACCCGTCTCATGTGCAAACCTTCGGTTAAAATTCGCTGGACCGTGCTCCATGAGATGTTTGTTTCCTCAGAAAGTTGGTCAATGGTCTTTCGACGATCTTCATCAATTTCACGCACACTCTTTGTTCCTTCTGGTCGGCCATCTCACTAATCGCCAAAGGGTTGAAACAGGAACGCACACAACAGAGCACCACAGACAAACCACTTAACTCAGACTGACGCCAGCTCACTAACAGTCGCGGGAGACCCCCAGCTAACACCACCTAGCAGCACAACTCGTAACTACAAAGCATGCGCGCGCAACAGGTCGTTTCCGGTTATTTTTGGGTCCCCCCTCGTATACTATGTATGCAAAATTCAAGCATTTAAAATGTAGAACAGGACATTCTGTACCATTAGTATAATTTCTTACACCCAATGAAATATTTCATATGCACTAAAAACTATAGCACAGGGTAATTTGACACGGCACATTTCCTTTGGAAGTCATGATTGATATTCATTTAGTTATTGTTTCTTTTTGAACTCTTCTGCTATTTCCTGAACATGTATATGGATTATCAGTTTAGAGCAGGGAAATGCATATATCATTTAATTAATTTTTGCATTTATCTCTTTTATATGTTTCATCATTTATATCACCTTTTCTTTGTTATATAGTGTTCCTTGGCATGCCATAGCTCAGGCAGTTAGGTCATGGCTTCTCACCGTGGGGTGTTTGCTTCAGTCCAAAATAACATCATGTGATTTGTGGTGGACAAAATGGTACTGGAGCAAATTTTCTGCTGTTTTCCCTTGCTAATCTTCATTCCACCATTGCTCCACACCCATCACCACCCCCTGAGGTGTGCAGCAACCCTGACCAGGCAGCACATTATCACATCCTTGGAATGTAATTTTGGGACTGCATCTCTGACCCAGCATGTGGATGGTGACAAAGTAAGTAAGTTAGTTTGTGTGCAGTGTTCCTTGTGCTGCTTGATAAGCTAAGTTGGTGAGAGACTGCGAAGATTGGGGTAATATGCATGGTAGATCAGTTGAGTGGTACTGAAGAGATACACTGTAGTAAGAGTAAATAAAACCAGGGATTTCTTTTTCTCTAAAAGGAACATATTCACTATTACTCCCAAGGTCTTTTCCAGCATCAAGGTCAAAACATACAAGTCATCAACAGACGTCTGTGACCTGTGGCCTGTCTGCCAGTAGAGGTCAAATGTTTGCATGTATCTGTACCAATGCATAAGAGACTGGAAAACGCAACAAATATAACAATCTGCCAGAACAGCTTTATTTGGCTATGAAACACTGTTTCTCACTATGAGGGAAAAACACAGACAGGATGCTTAAATGTAAAGTCTTGAGGAGAATATCTGGACCTAAGGCTGGCTGCACACACTCCTACTTGCATCCACATTTCGCCCTCATGCTCTGAAGTCTGGGGAAAGATGGAGCATTTCTAGGGACATCATCATGGTGCACCATCAACTGCTTGGCTTGAAGTCCTGTATGTCAGACTTGACAGTGCACAGGCAATAAGATGAGTGAGGAGGGTGTATGCATGGCCTATGAAAGAAGAAGAAACCCCATAATTTGTACTGTTAGGTTAATTAAATGCAAAATTGGATGGGCAAAACATGTAGCAGGTATGGGGAAAACAAGATATGTGCACATTTTATATTCTTGGGGGTAAAGGGCAGCCGGCACGTAGGGCTGACAACCTTGCCGCCATCTATGAACCGACTGTCTAGAAAATGTGGGAACCTCAACATCTCACAACCCTATGGCCCTCCATGGCCTGTTACAGGGATACTTTTTACTTTTTTTAATTTAAACAAGAACAAGAACAAGGCCTAATTCTGGATTGAGGACAATATTGTTTGTTTGGAGCTTATTTAATGATGCCATAAGTAGCTCAGGTTATAGGAATTTGAAACATTATGAAAGTGATGGCCTACTTTCAGATACTATCTCAGCATTTCCTGGAAAGACTGGGAAAAACCATGAAATCCTGCAAGGTATAGTTGATGTCCTGGTCATGATGTGAACCAAGCATCTTCTGAACATAAGTCAGGAATGTTACCATGTGAGTCAACTTGCTTGACAGGATAACATCAAAGTGGATCTTAAACAGGGTCTGGACTGCGTTGAACTGGTTCAGTGTAAAGTTCAATGGCAGAATCTTGTGAACCCAGTAATGAACCTTCAGGTTACACGAACACGAGATTTCTTGACCAGGTAAGCACCTAGGCCTTTTAAAAACCAAGCATCATGCAATTAAATAACATTTACAGAACTTACAGGTGAAATTAACACAGACATTAATATTCATCAAATCACTGCCTTGGATTATTTTGAATGATAATCCATTATATGAGAATTCCTATTTATTACATTAAGATAACATAATACTGTAACTGGCATCAAGTGATGTGTCTGTAAAATATTGTAATAAATGATCACATTAGGACTAGATAACATTCATGCAAACGAGCAAGTCTTAATGAATCCACATCTGCCCATCCATGACAAGTGAAAAATCTCTGAATTTAATTATTGGTATTCTTTCTTGCTCTCTTCCTTTTATTTTGCCACAGATATCAAACAGCAAATGATGTACTGCATACATAAAGGTGTCCCTGTGCTTAACTAATTAAGCGCTACATCATGAAGCTATGGACATACAGATCCACATTTTCTTGACCTCGGCACTAGCTGGAAATGAGTGGTCAGCTTCATGTCCTGGCTGCTTTAACCCCAGGGAAAGAGCCCCCGTTACAGATTGGACAGGACGTTGGGTGGACCCCAGAGCCGGTCTGGATGATGTAGATAAGAGAAAATCCTTGACCCTACCAGGACTTGAACTCCGACCCCTCGGTGATCCTGCCCGTAGCCAGTCAATGTACCGACTATGGTAACCTGGCTTCTGCTGTACTGCATATGTACTTTATAATATGTGAGACTGTACTTTATGTCCTCTATGTTCTGCTATCGTGAACAGCCTAGAGCAGAGCAATTATGGCAGCATTGCTATGTGCGGCTTCTCTTGTGGAGAACTGTACAGAATTGTATGTCCCGTAAACTGAAACAAGTCAATGACCCATATACAGGATGTCCCAGACTTCTGGAGGATGTTCCTTAAGTTAAAGTATGCCGATATAACCCAAAACACCTATGTCCAAAGTTGAATGGTTACGGAGATAATGACCCAAAAAAAACGTGGTCTTCTGGCGGGTCCATGCACTGTACCTGTCAGCTGACAAGTCTTATCTATGTTTGTCCTTGAGTGTGGTAATTCACAATAGCCACAATCTTATGTGCTACCTTCAGGGTATGTTGCGGCCGCGTTGCGAATGGATGGTAAATTACTTATGCGGAGTTGCTGAAGTGCCTTTTGTGTTTGCACACATGAAATATTGTGATATGCATTTTGCGGTGGCAATGCACGTGCTGCTGGTGACGAATAACAAAGGTGTTTCCCGATCGAAGGATTCCATCTCGAAGTGTATTTACGCGAATTCACCAGACATTGCATGATACTGATTCTCTTCCGAGTGTTTCTGTGCATTCTGAAAGGGAGGGTGTCTCTCACATTGGCGTATCATGTATGCAGGTGTGGCGAACTTTACATGATGAAGAGTTGTATCCTTACCATGATCAAAGGGTACACTTGGAAACAGGCAACCATGCTCAGTGCATGGATTTGTGCCACTGAATAAAAGCTCATCCTGAACTGTTAAGCATCATTTTATTCAGTGATGAGGTGTCTTTTACCCGGGATAGTGTATTTTGGTAGTTATGTAGTCGGCTTATACCAGAATGCGCAGTCGGCCATGTTACGTCAGCGCTTGTCATTCATGTGTCATGTATAGTGCTTGGAAACCTAAGGACAAATGTGACATAGTGTGCGAGTTTTTTTGTAGTTCAATTTAATGGCTTCATGTATTCACAAGTTAGTTTGATGTTACATACATTATTAACATTACAGAAACCACGTATTCCTGCCAGTTTTATTTTGTATATCAACAAGTGTGTAACACCTGTCAAAGTTTCACACTTCTCTGGCCATTATCTCTGTAACTGTTCAACTTTGGACATAGGTGCTTTGGATTATATAGGCATACTTTAACATAAGGAACACCCTCCCGAAGCTGGGACATTCCTCCTGGGACACCCTGTATAATATTGGTATCAAAAACTGAAATGCAGCTGACAGGCATGTGAATCCTAACAAGTGAACACTCAGAAAATGTACAAGGTTTAATTCACTTCATGGTATAGTGTCTGCTATAAATAGTTACTACTCTATTGTCAGTTACTCTGCTTTTTGGGAATTCCAAGGTTCATCACAATGTTGGACCCTATCCTAAGCCAGATGAATAGTCCATTCCTTCACACACTGTTCTCCCCAAGATCCATTTTAATGTTGTCCTCCAAAGTAGAGCTTAGTGGAAAAATCACAACACATTATTTCTCACATACAGCTGTTATATTGCCAACTTATAAAAACTATGACAAATAAAAATCACCGAAAGCACAAATCCTAGAAATATAACAACACTAATAATAACTGTCAAAAAATTTACTACCAACACATTTCTTTTGTCAGACAAAAGGTAAACTATACTAAATGACAGAGCTTACTTAACCATTACCATTTAAGTTTACAAATACATATTGCTCAGAAATACATAGAAAAATACAATGAAGAAGATTCTTCCTTGAAATATTTTCAATGGGAAGTTTGCGAGTACCATACCTTTTCCAACACCACACACTTTTTTCTTCAAATTTGTTTCTTGGGGGGGGGGGGAATTTTTGGTTTATTCAGGGTAGGATTGGCAGCACTACTCATTGCATACTTCTTCATTCTGTGCAGCTGCAGGGTATGGGTTGATGGTAATCACTGAATTTCTGTGTTTTGCCAGACATGTGTATTAAACACAAGTGTTTATGGATGGTAAACAAACTGAAAATAATTCAAGAGGCAGAAGAAATTTCATATGCACTGCTGGTTTAAATACAAAATTACAGTGTTTAAAGGATTACAGATAGAGAAGTTGATACTGAAAACCAATGATAGTTGGAAGCATTTTCATGCCCAGAAAGAAAAATACAATTAAATCTCTATCTGAGGTTCCTTTCGGAAACAGTAACGTTTGAGCATTACTATGAGTAAATTCAGCACTGGGACTGTCACTCTGATATCACTGAAGTTCAACATTAACTTGAGGATGTTAATCTTTGCAAATAAGAGAAAAGCGGCAGTTCAAGTTACGAGGATGTGGTGAAAAATGAAAGAATTCTGTTTTTACATTTCAAGACACTATGTACTACATATACTGAATATAATAAATTCACATGAACATTCAGATTCTATTTTTTTTTTTTAACTGGAGTACACATCTTATTGAAGCGAGTGGGGTATTTGAAGAAGTATGGTAATATAACATTTCTGAGGTTCTCCTGTCACATAATTATCGCCAAAGGATGATGAAAGTAATCTCGCAGATGGCCAGTGTGCATGGCAGTACATATATGTTTATAGTAACGTTTCTAGAACAGTATGGTTAAGTCAGAAAAACTCTTAATGACGTTTGTTTGTACTAAATCTTTCCAAATATTCTAAAACTCAATCGTCTAATAAAATGACAAGTGCATTAAAAAGTTCCAGAATTTTACAGACGTATCGACCTCACACATTTATTTTTCATGATCACGTCATTTCCAGGAATAATTGTGGGTGTTTGCAATGGGGAAGAGAGAACAGATTAACTGAAAGTATGCCACTTCAAGGCTATACCATCAGCTGCAGTTTCACATGATGCTACACCACCTTCTCGGAGCAACTTCTTGTGCTTCATCCATTTTTTGCAAAACAGCTCCCAGACTTTCCTTTTCACCCACATAATTTGGATTTTCATCTTCATATTGGATCTCGCTGACATCATCTTGATGAATAGCTGTATCATCTCTTGTTCCTTCATCCAGATCAAAAGCTTTAAGCATCTGAACTGGAGTACTGCTCTTACCCTTCTCCCCCTTTATTTTGCTTGCAAACAAATTCATCGGTGAAGACACGATGGATAATAATCCGGCAGATATATTGGCACTGTTCTTCCTTCCATCACCTTTGATCCTTTTATGTTCTTGTTCTGCCTCCTCTAAGAAGCCTGCATCTTGACACTTCCGCTTACCAAAGCTGAGGCTTGATGGGACCTCAAGAGGATCGTTTGTGGCCTCTGAATCATTTCCACTATCATCTGCAAGTGAACGGTTTGTCGATTCTTCATTATCAGTTGTACAATCTTGAGAAGAAGTATTTTGGCTAGATGTGCGGAATAAACCCCACAAACCTGCTCTTGGCTGTAGAAGCTTGGTGTCTTGAATTTCGCTCTCAGAATCATTACCTGTTGTGGTCCATGATCTACTGGAGAAGTTGCTGCGAATAGACGCAGAGCCAACAGTAGATGGTCTACTGAATGACCTATTGTAAGCAGGTAGTGGTCTCAGTGATGGGCGCCCTGACAAACTTCGGAGGGTTTGAGCAAATGATTTCTCCTGGAACTTCTGGCTTATTTCCAGAACAGAAATGTTATCATCACTTTCCAACACGATGATACTGCTTGAATCAGGTTTAGCTGGACTTCTCTGCTTTGGTAAAGATAGGTGTGTGGCAAGCCGTGAGCTCCTTCGTGGTGAACCTTTTGTGCTGTGAGTATCTAGTGGTTTCAAAGAGCTCTCCTCTACACTTGCTGAAGGTGAACTAACATGAGATTTGTTCTGATCCTGATGCGGAACCTCCACCACACTGTCATTCATCTCAGGTGCTTCTGTAAGTGGAGATATCAATTGGGTAATCTGAACACTTGGCTGCAGATCAGGTATTGGTGCAGATTCATGACTCCTTAATTCTGATTCAAGTTTCTTATTCTGCAACTTTTCCTTCTCTTTGTTTGCAGCCTCATCTTCTTCTTTTATGTCTGGTTTTGCCTCTTTCTTTGACTTGGGGCTCTGTTTTCCTTTGGGCGATATTTTAGGTGATGCACTCTTCTTCAGTTTCTTCTCCTTAATGGCAACAGATTTTGACTTGGGCAGTGTCTTCTCGGCATCTTCTTCAGCAATAACAGCTTTATCACCACTCATACAATCAGTATCATTGCAGTCTGAATTTGTATCACCCGCATCCAGATTTCCATTCTCAATCTGCAAGGATCAAAAAAAGGAAAACTTCATTAACAAATTCAGATATATGGCTAAAAACTATAAACACAATTTTTTTCTCTGTTAAGAGTGTGTGGTCATAACTTCTGATGTGATGCTAAGTGCAGTATTATTTATTATAATCTTTTCAGTCAACAAAATTGTGTCAAACAGCATTTGCTCACTTGCTGAATTTATATGAAAAATGCCATATTTCATCCCTAAACACAAAATTTTCTCTTTGCCTTAAAAATTCAACGTGTGCCTGAAAGCTTAATTTCTCACTCTGTTTCTTTGGTCTGAAATTTCTCAAAATACATACTACAGCATTCTGATGCTTTAGAGCAGTGTTCTGCAACCAGTGTGCCATCACAAGGTGAAAGGCGTGGCGCAAACTTTTACCTATTGTAAGAAATTAATTGTCGAATTTTATTCGTTTTATTTTATCCAAATTACCGTGTTTCATATGCTTGTATTTTATTCTCAGCCACTGCACTGATTAAATAAGATGAAGCTTGTTTATTCTTTATTACATGCTGTGATTTTTTATGTACAGTAATGTATAAACGTAAATTATTTATTTTTATTTTTCTCGCATCGACGCAGCTTCTTTGATATGCTTGCGCATGTTCTGTGTACGTGCTTTTCCCTAAAACTGCAGGGATTAGCATGGGGTTTCCTGTCTTTATAACGCTGTTTTGGTATTTGCCCGTTTGTTAGAAGTTAGAGCTTCTTCAACTTTATGACATTCTTCCTGTAACGATGCACTCACCGATTGTTGGACTTCATTTAAAATTACAAATATTTAAAAAATAAGTCGGTATAGTGTCACTTCTTCCATTTGAAATGTAGAGATTCCATGTTTTACAATTGTTTGAGTTCTATCACAGCTGTGCTCTCAAGTAGTTCACAAATTTTGGTTGTTAGTTAGAGAATTACAGATGGGTTGTTTGAGATGTCCCCGACTGTATGGTCACTTGCTGATGGCAGTAAAGNATACCCGGCTATCTCCGAGATGGCAGTTAATGTGTTATTGCCAATTTCAACTACATATTTGTGTGAACTTGGCTTCTCGATGTTAACTGAAATTAAAACATCAAAGAGGGAGCGGCTCAAATCCATCGATGAAGAAATGAGACTTGCGTTGTCAACGATTCCACCACGTATCAGTCGCCTGTGTGCAGCTAAGCAGGCGCAAGTATCACATTGAATGTATGAGTAGAATTACTGTATTTACTTTAATAGTAATAGAAGTGTATTTTCTGCACTCTACAGTGAATTAAAGTTCATGAATTGTTAATAAATTCACGCGTCGATTTCTGTTTAATGATAATAAAATAACAATATAATAATATTATAGTTAAGTTGATCATGTTACGTATTTATATTAATTGTCTGATATCATGTGTTTTTAAGGGGAACAACATTTTGGTGTGCTGTGTTGAGTCATGGATACTTCATGGTGTGACGCGAGTAGAAAAAGGTTGCGGAACACTGCTTTAGAGGGATTCTTCTGTCCATAACTCCAATTCTTATTCAGAGATATGGGTCTTGAGCGTGGAAAGATCAAGTAATAACCTTGCAAAGAAAATATGAAAAACATCACTACAGATTATATTTCTGTATAGTGCGGACTGTACCTTCACCAATATCTCGTCTTTTGGATCTTCTTCATGGGAACTGCAATTTTCTGGGCCCTTCTTTATAAGAGGCTCGGCAGATCCCTCTTTCTGGGATGCTGCACCCTCAGCTGTCTCTTGAACAGATTCATGTACCTCTACGTGTGATTGCATTATTTTCTGAGAAGACGGGCACTGCAAAGAAAGAGCTTGTTTGCTGTGCTGATCTAGTCTCCTCTGCCTACCAAAGATAGGCTTCAAAGATGTATTGATTCCAGGAAGTCTTCCCCGGTACCCCTGTCCAGCCTATAAATAATAAATAGAACATGTGATGTAGGCAGGTATGTCAGTACCATCATTCCTAATCACTGCAGACAGGTGCCCCAATATCACAGCATGCTCGGGGGGGAGTGGAGATAGAGCACCACACACTCTTAAATTAGGAACAACATACATGTGAGCAGTTAACCCGTTGCCGTGGTTCGTCGTGTATGTTTCGTCAGGGATTTAAATCGTCTGGGGGGGTTCGACGTGTATGTTTCGTCCAGCTGCACACGTA